GGGCCTTACAATCCCGGCTCAGGTGCCCTGTACACAAACATGCAAAACAAATCCCCTTTTCCATCAGAAATGAGAGCTTTTCTTTGTGCCTTTTTTCTTTAAATTTCTTGCATCCCTCCAATGGATGTATGTGAGCACAATAAAGACACTCATCGGATGCTGGCTCTTTATTTCCTTTTGATACCTCCATTGAGGTTACTGTGGTGGCAACAACATTTCCTTTTACTCTGTTGCTGGATGGTATTCTGAAACTGGTAACAGCCTTTGTCCCAATGACACCAGAGATTGGGTCATGCATTTCACCAAACAATGGATCTGACAAAATCTTGACACGACGTTCAATGAACAGGACCAAATCGTTAAAACATGCTGGACGTCCGGTTGATTCCATTATTTCATAAGCACTGGTCCTCCATTGCTCCTTTAACTTAAAGGGTAGCTTTGCAATAATGGCTCTCATATGTACGGGCATGTCCAACTCCTGCATGTGTTGCAGATCTTCCATGGCATTACTGCATCCTCTTAAAAATAAGGAATAGGCTTGTAGTGCTTTCAGATCTTCTGATTTCATGGGTTGCCAGGAAAAAGCCTTTTCCATGTAAGCACTTGAAATCGTATATTGATTTCCAAAATGTTTCTGTAACAAATCCTTTGCCATTGTATAGCCACGCTCCGGAGCCATGTGCTGACAACTGCGTACCAACTCACGTGGTTGTCCTCTTGTAAATTGCTCAAGATAATACAAGCAATCAGCTTTTCCTGTCTTTTTCTCCACTCCTTGTTCAAAGGCTTTTATGAAGGCTCTGTATTGAAGAGGGTCACCTTCAAATATAGGAATATTCCTTGGTGGTAATGAGGTCAACTGTTGCTGCTGTAACAATGCTGCTGATATTTCATTTTGTCTATGCATGACATTCAGTATATCTTCAGAAACGTCTTTATTGCTTTGTGGCTGATGTATTGGTTGAACAGTTAAAGGATGAGTCAAAAGATGAGATGTTTCTGGAATATTGTCCTCTTCCTGGTGACGATGCAGATATTTTGAGGAATCCTCAATCCATTGCCTTGTTTTTGTAGGTTGCACATCTTTTAATAGCTGCCTTGCACTTGTTTGAGTTGTTTTCAATGCTCCAGGTTGATATTCCTTTGCCAGTGGATTTAAAACATCATGAGCCTTTTTCCCTTTCAAAATAAGAGTTCATGCCATTGCTCGATCCTTGTGAAGAACCTTTTCTTCCTGAAGTTTGCAACACAGCCAGTTTTGCATCAAATGCAGCAATTTCTGTTTCCAGTTCCAGCTGTTCCTTTTTCCTCTTCAACATCAATTCTTCCTCCTCCAATGCATGTTTTTTCTTTAATTCTGCAGCACGAGCCAGAAGTGCTGCTTTGTCTGCCTGAGCCATGACAGCTGCCACTGATGTGCTGCTGGATTTATTACTACGACCACTTTTGTGACTTGAATATTTACTGATATTTGAAACACTGTCATTAGGGTTTATATCATCAACAACCTTGTCATTTTTATCACCATCATCATTTGAAACCCACACCTTAGTGTTCTCAACACACTCATCAATAGGAAGCATTTTTGCTTTAAACCATATTTCATGTTTTTCTTTTTCATCAACCGGCAATAAACCCATCAAATCATTATGCAAACCTTTTACCTTAACATACAGTGCAAGCATGTCTTCCAAAGCATTTTTTACCATTAATTTTTCATTTTTCTGCATCAAACTTTGTATTGACTTCATTAATACTGCTGCTTTGTTTAATATTGCTTTTCTACCTGATTGCAACCTGTCCAACTCATTAACAAGTGCCTTCTCAGTGAGCTTTACCACTCTTTTTACCGCTACCGTTTTAGCGCTGTCCGACAGGCTACTCGATTTAGTAATAGATTGCACGTTAGTCCCGGGATTCATTATCTCTGACTTTGTTTCCTCGGTTTCCATGACAACCCCCCCAGGTTCGCAGCGAAGATGAAAACTTGTACAAAGTTGTAGCTCCCTTAGTTCGGTTACCAATGCATTGGATTTTGTTTTTATTTTGTGTGCACACAATTTAAATGGCCATGCTCAGCGTAGCGCTACGCATACCTTTGATGGGCGCCGTGACGACTTGTGGCTGCGGTGATCCTCAGCTTGATCCGACGCCTTGATTTCCTCCTCCAAACAAACAGGAAACGCCCTTCAGACCCGCAGTGATCCAACGCACATCCAGTTGCTATACTTGTCACACAGCTCCCTTTCGACCAGCGACAACAGCGTCCAACGACGTCCACTCATCCCACGGGAGGTTTTTGACTAAATGTAGAAGTTAAGTCCAGTACTCGAACTCCTGAGGCTGCTAGACCGGGACCTGGTTGACGCTCTGTGTTGATCCGATGTTGACTGATTAAATTACGTAAAAAACAGCCTTAAGCGTGGAATTGTTATGATAATGCTTGTTTAATGTTGATTGCATTCCAGGTGAATGATAGGAGTAATTGCTAACTTTCCCATTCAAACGTCTTCACGCCACAGCGGTCAAAAACCTGTTTGCCCTTCCGGAATAGTGCCTGACACCAACAATGACATCACTACCTTTATTCCGACCAGTAACAATGACACGCCCACATATCAATTAAGACATCGAGACCAAAGAAAAGGAAACAACATATTTGGCTCCTACATTGTGTTTTTTGAATCTCAGATCAATTTTAACATGGACAAACCTGTCCCTCGTCCTCCTCCACCTCTTCATGCTCTTGCCACCTCTACACCCACGTTTCCGTCATTTCTATCCACTGATAAAACTCTTGCTGCGTATCTTTTTACTCCTCCAGTCACGGGTGTAAGAAAATGTTCATATTTTTAGAGTTTGTCCTCGAGGTATTCTTCAAACTGCTCCGTGTCAACCGCTAGATAACTTAGGCTCTCTTTATGGTTTGAGGGCGCAACGGCAGTGTTCTTGACAAAAGCGGCGTCCTGACCAATAACAAGCTTGTGTTCTCCGTCTCGTTGGAAAGTTGGCTCGAATCCGTCCGTCCTTGCGAGGGCTCTCCAGCAGGCTCTCAAGGATGGATAATGGCGTTGTGTGTCTCCGTATGACGCAGACGCAGAAGCATAGGCGCAACGCCTCATCAGGCTGTAGGGAGAATGCGTATCAGAGGTAATTTCTGCCTTCAGTTTGTTTTGATCCATACTTTTCAGGTAAGTAGATTAAATTTCAACCAAATTCAGCGATTGTGTAACCCCTTTTATAACCAAGGGTATACATCCCACAGCAGAGTGGTTTATTCTCACTGTTGAAGGTTTCTAAAGTTATTTGTGTCCAATCAAAAGAACAGGAAACACAACTGACCCAACAACCTAATCCTATCCATCCAATCTGATTTACTTAATAAAAGTGTCAACATAAAGACTTCCAGTTATTTTTGTTTGTTTGTTTTTTTCTAATGTTAAAAACTACTGGGGTATGTTTAAACTTTTAAACTGAAAAATAAGTATGTTTGGAAATAAAAGTTAATGATGAATGCTTACAACAAATTTAAAAAGCTTCATGACTGTCAGGATGTGGAGTTGCTGTTAGGACCCAAAATGCAGACTGTTATGTCTCAGACAGGATGTGTTAAAATGTGAAGGAGGGGGTAACATAAGAAACATGATAGTGGGTTTAAAATGGGTTTAATTGTGATAAAAGTGCAAACAGATGGCGAGCATTATTAAAATGACGCTAAACGAAAAATGTCTCTCTATAAGGTTAACAGTTAAAAAACAGCTTATCAGCTATATACAGCACCTGGTTAAAACTTTATTAAAAGTTTTACCAAAACTGAAGGTGTTTGAAAAACCCAACAAAGTTGATAAAAGTCTAAAAACCAAAACAGAGTTAACTTTAAAACAGAGTCAACCAAGTTGACATCAACCAAAGATCCTTTTGGATCGCTCAGAGTTTTACTTTTACAACTCATCAACTCAGAATTACAACTTTAAAAGTTGAAACTCAACACAAACGAAGGGGTTGAAAGCAAAATGAGGCCTGGAGGACAGCCGAACCCCTGCACTGCTGCCTCCCAGACTACTGAAGACAGGTGTTGGTCATCAGAAGGACTCATCTCAGCTGTGCTCCTCAGCAGCCTGGAAGAGAGGAGGAGGAGGGGCGATGTCTGGCTGATCACCGGGGCTGGTGGACAATAGCAGGCACAGGATGCAGGGTGCAGGTAAAAGGAACTGATTTATTTGAATGATGGTGGGTTCGGAGGACGTGACAGGAAGACAAGACAAGCATAAAAAGAGGGTTTAAATACATGATCAGGGAAACTGGTGAATGAATGAATGACCCGCACTTGTATAGCGCCTCTCAGAGTAAGGAGTCCAAAGCGCTTTACACTTCATCCATTCACACACTGATGGTGATGAGCTACGATGTAGCCACAGCTGCCCTGGCGCACACTGATAGAGGTGGGTAAGGTAACGAGGGGCAGGTGAGTTCAATCAACACTAACAAGGGAGACTCCAGAGACAGACAGACCCCCTTAAGGGCAGCTCCAGACACCACCCAAAACAGGAACAAAACTGGAAAAGGGGGCAGGGTAAGAACCCAGAATGCTCCTCAGACAGGAACAAGAACTCTCCAGGTGGCACAGCTGGGACTGCTGACGATGGCTGGAGCTTGGGCTAAGCTTCTTAACTGGATGGCTCAGATGGAGCCTTTGGATCCATCAGCAATTGGACTTGTTGTTAGGATCCAAAATGCAGGTGATAGCAGGCACAGGATGCAGGGGGGAAAAGGGAAAAAACTGATTTCTTTGAATAATGGCAGATAGGATGACATCACGAGGATCTGACACACACCAGCTCAAACAGAGGGTTTAAATACACGAGGATAATCAAGGTAACCGGTGGGTTGGGTAACGAGGGGCAGATGAGTTCAATCAACACTAACAAGGTAGTGGAGGCTACAGCAGCAGGTCCTGACAATGACAGTGCCACATGATTGATACTAACTTCAGTATTTCTCAGCTTTGTTAGCATGAACACTCTTAAGTAAATCAAATGATCTAATCCAAAATGATGAAATTAAGTATTCAACTCCATTAACTTATTTGTGATTAATGTAATAAAGTAATTAGAGACCTGAACATAAAGGGTGTAAAGTATTAGGTAAAGAGCAGACATGTGTGGTGCTGTTACTGAGTGTAAATCAGAAGGGAGGTGACTCGCTAGCCATCTCAGGCCCTGTCCACATGTAGCCGGGGATCTGCCAAAACGTAGACATTTTTCTACGTTTTGGCCTGTCATCCACACGAAAACGGAGTTTTTTCACACCAAAACAGATCTTTTTAAAAACTCCGGCCAAAGTGAAGATCTGCGTTTTCTCAGTTTTGGGTGTCTGTGTGTGGACAGACAAAACCGGAGTTTTAAGGTCCGCAACGTCACTTTCCGCAACAAAAAAATGCTGACATCACGTGTGCGACCTGTGTTTACACTAGCCGACAGCATGGATGCCCTCAGAGCTGCGCTCGCTTTATCAATTGTAAAAGCGCTTTTTGCTTGTTTGTTTTTGCAAGTGGAATTACTGCTCCTTGCGGAAGACCACAGACGAAGGACGAGGTTAGGAACGGGGGAAGTACTGCCGCCTACAGGTCTGGCATGTCCTTAACAACGTATTTATCCGGGTACGTGTGGACAGAGTTTTGTTTTAAAACGAGGTGGTGTGGATGCAAGTTTTTGGAGGGGCGAATATTCGTTTAAAAAAAAAACGGCTACGTGTGGACTAGCCATCTCAGTCAGATCATGTAGTTCAAAAGCTTCCTACATCAAAGTCATGAGGCAGACACAGATGCACAGCACAACAATCAGAATAAGCCTGTTAAAATGAGCAAAGAACGTTTTTAGGTCTGGTTTTGTGAATTGGGCTGCATCTGGGATTAATAAAGTATTGATTGATTGATTGATGGTGGCGCAGTTGTTAGCACTGTTGCCTCGAAGCAAGAAGGTTGCAGGTTCGAAACTCGCCTGTGGCCTTTCTGCGTGGAGTTGCGTCTTCTCCCCATGCATGCGTGGGCTTCCTCCGGGTCCTCCGGTTTCCCCCACAGATCCCAACATGCCCTAGAAGTTAAATAAAGTGCACGTCGCTTTGGATAAAAGCGTCTGCCAAATAAATAAACATAAACATAATCCATAAAGAACTGCACCATGTCCAAATATGAACAGAGCCCATCAAAATGCTGAAGGAAAGACAAACCCACATAAACAAGTCATCATCATAAAAGGCCGTACATTCAGCTGCATGACACACAGTGTTCATTAAATGCTGATTACATGTTTTCCTCTTGAACCGAGCTCTGTGGTGCTTTACAACAAGTTGAACTGAACCAAAATCACGGCTGGCAAACGATCTTGGATGAGCAACAAATATGTGTGTGTAGTGTATCATGTTACTGTTGCTACAGAACTACAGAGGGAACCACAAGTTGGTCTACTTCCATGGAATATATTCACACACACACACACACACACACACACACACACACACACACACACACATGGGCATTTGCATGAAGACACAGGCAGAGCTGGCTGACCAGGGGTTTGTTTTTCTGTTACAGAAGCAGCTAAGCAGTGAGCGGGAGGCGACCGTTATGTGTGAAGTCTAAAAAAAAGATCTTTTTGATAAATTTATTGATTTTAAACTGAGAAAAGTAAGAAAAAGAAAGTGTAAAGTAGGAGGAATCGCCTCAGATGGAGAGCTGCTGCTAAATGTTATTTATAGGGGACAATAGCAGTCCCAGCTGATAGACGATCTGTGTCCAGTAGGTGTCCAAACCCGCCCCCTTACTCCATCGTGTGCTCTGCTGGACAGTGATCATACATCTTCCTTGTGAGATGATGACAGATTGATTAATACCCTGAGCTGGACCCCTCGGCTGCCAGAGCATCCCTAAGATAATGAATCACTGATTAATTAAAATAAGTATTTCTCACTAAAACACAGTGAAGTCCTTTGTTTTATGACTCTTTTTATCTGTTGTCAAACTCCAAATCATTGATCATTCTAGTGTGCTGATCTGTGATCAGTTCCCAACCAGAGGTTTAGGCAAAGATTGTCATTTGCATTTTAATAACACTTAACATGAGATGCTGCCTGTTGTTAGTCACAAAACCGTATTGATTTTGAGTTATTAACGCCAGAAGTGCCTGTTGGTTCTGAAGTTGACCCTTATTCCTCACAAATAAGTAAGAAGTTTTTTTAACATCTGTCTTTTTAAATAACTGTGTGTGTCTCCTTTATGAGACCATCCATCCATCCATCCATTGTCTGAAACCGCTTGTCCACTTAGGGTCGCGGGGGGACTGGTGCCTATCTCCAGCGGTCAGTGGGCAATCAGGTGGGGTACACCCTGGATAGAGTGCCAGTCCATAGCAGGGCTCCTTTATGAGACATGTAACTGACTTTTTTTTTTTTTTTTTTTTTTTTGCAACCACCAATGATTTATACAGGAAAATCATGACGATTAACAAGGCTGCCCAAACTTTTGCATTCCACTGTATGTGAAATCCATGTGGCATATCAACCTGAGTTAGAAAATAGCATTTTCAGCCCCGCTGACTTGCATTCATTCTTTAATTCCTCCGGGGACCCGTGGTCCAGATGTATATACACCCGACTCCCTATGTGGACGTGGCCTTATATCATCAGGTAGGGTTTCTCCTAGACTGAAGACATGAACTCTGGACTGGACCAACTGATCCTGAACATCTTGTAAAGAAATCCTGAAAACCTTAAAGATAAGTTTACTTTTGGTTAAAAATCGTTTCATGTGCCAAAATGTTCATGGCTGCAATCTGTAGTAGTGTTAATTTCAAACGCAGCCCTAACTTTTCCCTTGCCTCAAAATGAAGGTGAATTAAAATCAAACGAAGAAATCAGGTGAGCATGATTAAAATGCTCCATTCAGCCAAGCTGCTTGTGAATGCAGCACGAAGGGAAGAGAGACGAAACAATGCAAAAGAAGAAATTGAAAGATGGAGGAGATATGGAGCAACTCTCAGCCGCATGCATAATGAATACCTTGTTAGCAAACACATTCACATGTGTTCGCTCCATCGCAGCTCGACATTCCTCTCTTCTTCTGAGAGCAGAGCTCCGGTGTCAGACGGAGGAGGTGTGCTTGGAGCAGACATCACCACTTAAGAGTGGGCTTTCATCTGCAAGGGTGGGAGATGCCAGATATTCAGAGCTGGCACTAACACAATAAAACCCAGCAACAATGTTGGCTCTGGGTTAACTTGGAGCGGTCCTCGTGTTTGGCCGTTGCTGCTATTGCTGTTGTTTTTTTAGCATAATCACTAACTCATGGCCTTAGACAAACAGCAGGACGCATCCAGCTGACATTATAAAATGCATGCTAATGTTTTCAATTTCTTTTCACTGTCAGCCAAGCTGCTGTGCACCCAAGTGAGAAGAACCTTTAAGGTTCAACCTCTTTGCTAAGGAACAGTGCAAACACGCTAGGTTTGCTGGCACATGACAAACATACAAGCTCCTTTCTTTTTAAAAAATGATAAATAACCTGTATTTGTAGTGCGCCTTCTTAGGGTTCTACAACCCCCCAAGGCACTTTACAACACAGTCAATCATTAACACAGAGGTGGTGATGAGCTACGATGTAGCCACAGCTGCCCTGGGGCGCACTGACATGGGCGGGGCCTGCCGGGCACAGGCGCCACCGGTCCCTCCGACCACCACCAGCAGGCAAGGTGGGTTAAGTGTCTTGCCCAAGGACACAACAGCAGCATTCTCTGGTCAAAGTCGGGATCAAACCTGCAACCTCTCGATTACTGGACAACCCGCTCTACCTCCTGTGATACTGCTGTCACCTGATAATCTGGTTTAAAGGAATTCTAAATATCAGTTTATAGCTTCTTCTTCTTCTTCTTCTTCTTCTTCTTCTTCTTCTTCTTCTTCTTCTTCTTCTTCTTCTTCTTCTTCTTCTTCTTCTTCTTCTTCTTCTTCTTCTTCTTCACCAGCAACTGCAAACACTTCTACAAGATCAAACATTTTGCAGTTTGATGGTCTGGAGCGTTTAGGTAAATAATACAATGAAGTCAATGAGAACAATGATCAGAAATCATCTGAGAGAACCAATTATTTCTGATCACCAGCCTGGTAATGTTTGAGCTGCACAAACACCTCAGTAGATGTTAGCTATGGTTTTGGAAGGCTGTTGATTGGATAAGACCTGGATCACCAAGCATGATTATTGGTGTAGAAAGAAAACTTCACGTTCACTTCAGATGTTTCCAGAATCAAAAATCTTACCACCATGGAGAATCCCAACATTCTTCTTGTGCAGATGGTGTTTTGGTGAGCTTTGTATTTAGTGGCTTTGCAAAGTAGTTGTCATTAATTTTGTTGTGTTTATAATCAACAGTTATGTTTGCTTCCCTCTGTAGGCTTTATTAATTCCTTTTGCACACATCTGCTTCACCTTCTGCATTCACCCTTTCTACTGTGTCTCAAATCAGTGGTAAGTGCTGCTATTTACTGACCGTTATCTATTTGATTTCCTTTCTGTTATGGTTATGCCTTTTTGTTTTCAACCATAAAACTTCTGTTGCAGTCAGCGCTCCTTTTGATCATCCAATAGTTTCAGCTGTGGTCATGCTCTACGTATTTTTGTGTCTCCATGCTGGGTCCCACCACGCCACTGTACGTTAGAAAAACTAGCTAAATGGATCTTGATGTAGCCTGAAATTAAATAGTTATTACTCTGATGCTTATTCTATTTGTCTGTCAAATATTAAATTATTAAAGTGATTTACCGCTCAGGCCGTAATTATCATGTTTATTTTTTTGCAGTTTAAAACAACTTGAGCACACATTTCTTATTCTCGGCCAGTTCCATTAAATGAATAAAACCAAAACATGTTTTAGTGAGTTTTCAATTCTTTTCCAAGTAGATTTCCTGGTCTGGTTGATTCCATACAGAAAATCTTCAGGAGCAATTCAGAAATGGTTCATTTCATTTCAGAAACTCTTAAAGCTAACCAAAGTAAAAAATAAAAAAAAGTAAATTATTGACTCTGTGTGTTTAGATAAACTAAGACTAAACTGTCCATTTGTCAGTTATTTATACATTTATAGGGCTGGAGTGTGTATTTATACAGGCAGTGTGATGCATGTGGGATTAAATAATAGTCTGCTTCTGCTGAAAAGGAATATGTCTGCAAGTACAATGGTGTTCATCATACTAACAACAAACCTACTGTACTTATTGTACTTGGACCATAGATAAATGTGTGTGTGTGTGTGTGTGTGTGTGTGTGTGTGTGTGTGTGTGTGTGTGTGTGTGTGTGTGTGTGTGTGTGTGTGTGTGTGTGTGTGTGTGTGTGTGTGTCAGAGAAAAACCCAGCCCTAATGTCAAGCAGGCAGTTGGCCAGACTCACAAAAAACAGGCTCCTGTTTTGCAGTTGAGCTGACTCATGCCACCTTAAGCAAACAGAAAGCACAGACCACAGCCTTGTCTCTGACACACACACACACACACACACACACACACACACACACACACACACACACACACACACACACACACACACACACACACACACACACACACACGTCTAAACAACCTCTCTGATTTCTCCTTTCAACATACAACTGTCTCTACAGGACCACAGCTTACCAGGTGAAAAACGACGCATTTTGAGAGCATAAAGCAGAAGTCTTCCCATTGAGGTGAAATCAGCTAACACAGTTTAATGTTTTCTACAGCCTATAAAAGCTGTTGGGGTGACACAAAGACCAGCTGTTACAATGGGAGAGAGAATCAAGTGTGAGAGCAGCAGCTCTCAGAAGGTTTTACATCCACAGTTTTTACGGGAAAATGAATTCTTGACACACACATGCTGATTAGGGGGATGGTTCTGTGAGCATGCAGGAAAGAGCGCCTTGTCAAATAAACATTTCTTTCCTGTCCTTTTGTCTGACAGAGCTCCTGCAGGACCGTGTCTGTGAACGTCAGCCAGAGTGAGTGGAAGAAATGGCAGAAATTAAAAAAAACAAACTAAAAGATCCGGTCCAGCTGAGTTCAACTTAAAAAAAATCCTTGTAGGTGTTGAAGAAAATGGGAGGCAAGGGGTGTTGAGACAGCAAGGGCTGGATGAATATTCTTGAGACTGTTTGGGTCACAGTGCTCCCATTGCAATGGTAACCTCAGAGCCCCATTCCTCTCACCACGTGTTGCTCTTGTGCAGTTGCCCGTCTGCTTCTGCATGTCCACCTCAGGGAGGAGGCAGCTTTCAAACACAGTTAAACTGCAGCACATCACAGGTTTCCATCAAACACGCTGAGAACACAACCTCTGCTTTTGGCAAAGAGTGATCACATGTTTCACATGAAGTTTAACCCAAACACCCTCCGGTACACACAGTTGATTGATCAACGGTGGCTGCCATACACAGTCAGTCACCAGTTTTTACAATGCATTTGCTTTTTTTAAAGAGTAATTTTATGTGAATTCTAATGTAAACAACAAAAAATGTCTTCCTTACCTCCTTCCCCGTCTAAATGGTGTGCATCGCTGGACTGGGAAGAGTGTCCCTTAACTTTGGACTGCTCAATCTTCTGTGCTATGATATCCGCTTGTTGCTGCTTGTTTCATCAGTGTAGTCGTCAGAAAAGTCCTTGCTGCAATAAACTGCAGAGCTCAGCCAGTGTTTGAGTGTTTTAGACCTTGGGCTAAAGCAGTTTTTGTTTTAAAGTGTTGGATGGATTATAGTTTGTAATCTATCCTCGGGTTTGAGGTGCTTGTTAGGTTTGGCCTTCTCTTCTGTCCTCGTGTGCTCGATGGGGACCTGTCTAGCTCCATGCTGCAGAGTTCTGATGACTCCAGTGGATGATGAGATTCGTTGCGTTGACTTCCTATAAACATCTGTGTTCCGACTGCTGAGTGTCAAGTTTACTTGTTTTTTCAATACATTAGCAGTGGTCTCTAGTATAGATGAATGCCTTGATAGTTGGTCTCTATAAGAAAACAGCTCTGGCACTTCTGTTTCAGGAAGTACAAATTAGCCAGAGGGAAGGGGAGGGAAGCAGAAGACAAGAGGATTTAGCGTCTTGTTTCTTGATATTTGGACATCTCACCTCTGCGAGGAATGACTCGGTTCGACTCCTGGCTGGCTCGCCAATATGTAAAGGATGGGTAGTTTACATCTTACTTATGAACCATAAAATGTGAGATTCCATGGAAATATGAAATATCAATCTGTTGAATCTTTGAATATTTTAACCAGAAGATCAGAACTTTTTATTGCAGGGATTACTTGACACTTCGTATTAACTCCAAGGAAAGAGAGTCAGGTTTATCATAGTTAAGAAAATTATTTCTACACAATTTAAACAAGACTAACTTTAAACACTCTGTGTACTGATGGACCAAGATGGAGTGAGACGTGCGATGATGGTGTTGCTAAAAAACATCTCTTCCTCCAAATCATGTGGAGAACTACTGACCTATCTCTCTCCTCCCTTTTCTGTCCAAAATCATTGAAAGGGTGGCTTTCAAGCAGATCACAGAATACCTCTCACAAAACTGTCTGCTTGACCCTTACCAATCTGGGTTCAAAAAGGGCCACACCACTGAAACTGCTCTGTTAGCGGTGACGGAATCCTTAAAAGAAGCTAGAGCGACTGCCAAATCCTCAGTGCTTATCCTGCTCGACTTATCGGCTGCATGACACTGTCAACCATGGCTTCCTTTTGTCCACACTCTCTAGCATGGGCATCACAGAGAAAGCACACGCCTGGTTTGAATCGTACCTCACAGGATGATCATTCAGTGTATCTTGGCTTGGACAATCCTCTACCATGCACCATCTTGCCACAAGAGTCCCCCAGGGCTCTGTACTAGAACCTCTTCTCTTAGCCATATACACCACCTCACTGGGTGAGATCATTCGATCACATGGCTTCTCCTACCTCTGCTATGCAGATGACACCCAGCTCTATCTGTCATTTCCACCGGACGACCACACTGTCTCTGCACGAATATCAAACTGTCTCTCTGACATATCAAAATGGATGAAATCCCACCATCTCCAACTCAACATCTCTAAAACTGAACCACTTGTCATCCCAGCAAAACCATCCATACAGCACAATATCTCAATCCAAAATGACTTCCTATCTCTGGTTCCTTCAAAGGCAGTTCAAAATCTGGGTGTTGTGATTGATGAACTCCTGACCTTTAAAGATCATGTTGCCTCTGTTGCTCGTTCATGCCGCTTTGCGCTGTATAACATACGAAAGATCAGACCATACCTAATACAACATGCCACCCAGCTCCTGGTGCGATCTACTGTCATCTCCCGCCTCGATTACTGCAATGCCCTTCTAACTGGTCTTCCAGCCTGTACTGTGAGACCTCTTCAAAGGGTCCAGAACGCAGCGGCGCGTCTGGTCTTCAATAAGCCAAAAAGAGCACACGTCACCCCCCTGTTCATTGAGCTCCACTGGCTACCGCTAGCAGCACGCATCAAATTCAAATTGCTAACACTAGCATACAAAGTCTGAGATGGTACGGCTCTCATCTACCTGAATCCTCTCGCAAAGGCTTACGTCTCGGCCCGGCCGCTCCGGTCATCACAGGATCGTCGGCTAGCAGTGCCTACACCACGCTCAGGACAATCCAGGCTCTTCTCATGCATCGTTCCACAAATGTGGAATGACCTTCCAAGCACTACCAGAACAGGTGCTTCCTTTTCAATTTTCAAGAAACTCCTGAAGACCCTGCTCTTCAGAGAGCATCTTCTAAACTAGCACCCTCCCTGCACCTGTCCCTCTCTCTACTGTCCACTCCTTGTTCTCTCCTCTCCATGATTGATGTCAAGTTGTTGCTGTTATTGTTATTGTTCGCCTCAAGGGCAACATGCCGATTATCACTTGTAAGCCGCTTTGGACAAAAGCGTCTGCTAAATACATAAACATAAACATAATGTTATTAATTTTTGCGACGTTTTTCAAAACTGTGTTTTTTGACTGGAGCTACTTCTTCTTCGCCAACTGTGATGCGTGATATTGCACAGTATAAATACCGTAAGCCACCACTGGGGGTGCACACTGCACCCCCTTCTGTTTATTTTGCAGCTGGAAGCTCATAGTTAGCCAGAGTAAACATGGCAGAACATAAACAGTCATAGGAAGACTGTGAGGTATTGCAGTAACACCACAAACCTCATTAAACATCTATAAATAATTCATGGGAGATAATGAAAACATCATGATGAGGAGGAGAGGGGGAAGCTGCTAACGTGAAACAGACATCTCTCTTGGAGACTTTTGGTGCTACGGGCAGGTGTTATCCAGGTACAAAGGTGAGTATGGAGCAGTTTAAGATGTTTAGTACAGTCGCTGACTTCAGGAAAGTTATTCACATCTGCTACAGGCTTTAGCTGTTGTGTTGTTATTCAGTCATGTCTCCTGTATTTTTAAACGTGAGGCATTACATTCATTCAAATTTACATTTAAAATGTATGGAATGCAAAAGATAAATGCTACAATTAACCGCTGCACTGAATTTAGTTGGAGTATCATCAGCCCCTGAAATCCCAAACATTTCATAAAGCTATTGTTATTCTGGTGAGGTTTAATGCAGAGTAGTTGAAATAAACCAAGAGTTGTTAAAATGTACAGTATTTAAAATATAAAACAGATTCACTTTAAAATGTAGAAAACATTCCATAAATTACACTGATAACGGTATCAAGTATATGTTTTCTGTTAAACTATTAAAGTTGTGTTTTCAGTCGATGTGTTTTGACTGATGGTTGCCTGAATATTTCACAATGTAAGTGCAAGCAACTGTATTTAATTATATAATTCATAGAAATATAAACTGTCAGGTAGAAACAAACTCACAGAGACTCATCTGTACAGTTGTTATCTAAATATATTACTTCGCTTTTGATATTTTCTAACAAAAACATCTTCGAGCCATGTATCGGTGCCGGATCGGTATCACCATACTGGACCTAATTTTATATGGCATCAAACGGAAAGGAAATCAGTGGTATTGCACATTACTAAACTTCTTCTGCGGCTAATGCGGGAAATAGGGATAGGAGACTATTTTCACATTCAGTTTGCATTTTAAACTTAGAGTGACTGATCATATTTTGAAAATTAGTAAAAAACGGTTTGTGTAACCAACATTCAAAGAATGTTAGCTTTTTACTAATGGGGTGAGACAGCTGTCTTTGAGAGGTGTGCAGGATTCAAACCATTTAATCCTGCACGTATGTTTTTGGTGCAGTCTTGCACCATAGTCATCCTTGTTCTTCATAACAACGTTTGCAACACCCTTTTTCTTGATTCATTAAACAAACTTTAAAACGATCCATATAAATGCAGCTTACTGAAGTGTTTCATTGTAGCTGACTCTCCCCTTTCCCGCCGCTCACCCAGTCTCAACACTGCTGTGATTACATGTATCTCAGCGAGTCTCAGACAGAGACTGAACATCTGAAGCTCAGAGTCGACGAGTCACGAGCTTCACTCCATTATCAGCCTAACAGAGGGCAGAAAGTCACCAGCAGGCTGCAGCTATCTCCATGTCCTATCTGTTTCTGTGGCAGGTGGGAATGAGGCTGTTCTCAGTTGCCAGCCTCACACCCGGTCCTCCGCGGCCCAGGCCTTTTAGATAGGATGGTGTCTGCAGAGATATGGAGGGCGGGAAAGGCAGCTCTGCAGACAGCTGGTAATGATGTCCTCTCACATACCGCGCCCTGTGGATAATGGCGGTGTCGAGGCCCGGTGCATAGAGCAAGATGAGGCAGAATAGTCGGCATAACCACGAGTCCACAGCGCACTCTTCTGAATTGCCTTGTCTCGTCATCTTGCTGTGATTCTGGGCCATGCCACGGGTAAGTCAGTGTAGCGTGTAGCTCATTTCACACTGTGATTCTCTTTCTCCTATCTAGATCTGCTGGCTGCCAGATCGAGTTTAGAAGAACACAATTAAGTATTTTTTCCAGATGTGATGAGAAGTTATAGAAGTGGATAACTTTTCTCTGCTATGTTCTTGGTAGCCGGAGTCCAACTCAAAGATCGAGCTCCGAAACAGGAAGACATTGATTCTGTCATCCAGAAAAACGAGGTCTTTCTGAGCGTAGATTTATGAACAAATGGCTTTTGTTTCTTGTGTTTCGTTTCAAGAAATCTTTCAGAAACGGTTGCGAGACCTACAGCGAATAGCTGATAAAACCCCAGACTGGACTGTGGCCGGTAATGGCTCCACACCTGTCAGCCATCTTTTTATGAGTTTCCTCTGGGTGACAGAAAGAAGCATAGCCACGGTGTCAGCCGCTTCATGGATGAGGACATCATGGAGGCCCGAGAGCCAAATGGCTCAATTACACAGCACTGCTACTTCTGTTCTACTAACGACAGATTGACTGGTCAAATGGAGATATTTAAGGCACCCACACACACCTTACGCAGTGCATCAAGCCCTCAGTTCAGCCTGTCTGCTTCTGAGTGTGCACACACACCTATATACATACGTGCGTGTGTGTGTGTGTGTGTGTGTGTGTGTGTGTGTGTGTGTGTGTGTGTGTGTGTGTGTGTGTGAGCCTGGAGTGGACCGCGCTGACCTGCTAGGACGAAAAGAAGAGGAGAAGGGGA